CTAAAAATCAAGTACATAAAACATTAATAGGCACAATGCTAGAGTGACAAGCATCTAGTTAATACCTTGAGGGAAAACAATGAGGTAGTATAACTTTTAACAGGAATTAATACAATTAAGGCAATAAAAATTATTTCACTCCTGAACAACCAATAGGTCAAAGAAGAAATCAAAAACGATCTTGAAACAAATGAAAATGGAAACACAACATACCAAAACAAATGACCAACAGGTATGTAAAAGATGCCCAACATCAGCAATCACCAAGGAAATGTAAATCAAAACCACAATGAAAGGTACATGGCTGGCTCAGTTGGTGGAGTATGCAACTCTTGATCTCAGGGCTGTGAGTTCAAGCCCCACATTGGGGGTGGAGCCTACTTTAAAAAAAAAAAAAAAACTACAATGAGATATCACATTACACCTGTTAGAATGGCTATTATCAAAAAGGTAAGACATAAGTGTTGCCAAAAATGTGGAGAAAAGGGAATCCTTGTGCACTGTTGGTAGGAATGTAAATTAGTGCAGCCACCATGGAAAACAGCATGGAGGTTCCTCAATATTAAAAAAAGAACTACCACATGATCCAGCAATCCCACTTCCAAGTATCCAAATGAAATAAAAATCAGGATCTCAAAGGGATATCTCCACTTCCATGTTCACTGCAGTATTATTTACAACAGCCAAGCTATGGCAACATTAGAATCTGTCTACAAATGAATGGATAAAGATGTAGTACATACATACAATGGAGTACCATTCAGCCATAAGAAAGAAGGAAATCCTGTCATTTGTGACATGGATGGACCTTGCAGGCACTATGCCAAGGGGAATAAGACAGAGAAAGGCAAATACTGCATGATATCACCTGTGTGTGGAATATAAAAAAAGCCAAATTCATAGAAACAGAAAGTAGAATGGAAGTTGCCAGGAGCTGGAGGGGAAATGGAGAGATGTTAACCAAGGGTGCAAAGTTCCAGTTATAAGATGAGTAAGTTCTAGGGATCTAATGTACAACATGGTGTCTATAGTTAGCAACACTACATTACATACTTCAAAGCTGCCAAGAGAGTAAATCTTAAATGTTCTCACCACATAAAAGAATTGGTAATTATGTGAGGTGACAAAGGTATTAAGAGTACTATGATAATCATACTGCAATATGTAAATGTATCAAATCAACATGTTGATACCTATACACAGTGTTATATGTCAATTATATCTCAATAAACCTGAAAAAAATAGAACTACCAAATATGATCCAGCTTCTGGGTATATATCCAAAGGAATTAAAATCAGTATCTTGAAGAGATTATCTGTACTCTCATGTTCACTGTGGCATTATTCACAGTAGCCAAGACATGGAAGGAACCTAAGTATCTACCAATGGACAAATGGATAAAGAAAATATATATACATACAATGGAATATTATTCAGTCTTTAAAAAGAAAGAAATTCAGCCATTTGCAACAACATAGATAAACTTGGAGGACATTACACTAAGGAAAATGAGCCAGACACAGAAGGACAAATGCTAAGTGACACCACTCATATGAGGAATTTACAACAGTCAAACTCCTAGAAGGAGAGTAGAGAATGGTGGTTGTCAGAGGCTGGGGGAAATGGGGAAGTACTATTCAAAGGGTACAAAGTTTCAGTTATACAGAATGATTAAGGTCCAGAGATCTACTATACAGCATAGTGCCTACAATGAATTATACTGTAGTGTATAATTAAAAATTTGCCAAGAGGGCAGATCTTATGTTAAGTGTTCTTGTCATGTTCACAAAATAATAATGATGATAATAATAAGAGGGGGAAGGAAACTTTTAGATGTGATGAACAGTTTTATGGCATAAATTGTGGTGATGGGTCCATGGATATATAATTATCTTCCAACTGTATGTATCACATTGCATACATTAAATATGCATTGTTTTTTGTGTATCAATCATATCTCAATAAAGTGGTTTAAAAAAGTAACTTAAGACCTAAATGCAAAAGCTAAAACAATAATGGCTTTAAAAGAAAACATAGGAGACTATCTTCATAATTTAGATGTAGGCAGTTTCCCCATATGAGAAGAAAATAAGAACCATAAGAGAAAAAAACCCGATAAATTAGACTGTTTAAAAGTTAAAAATTATCTGTTCTTGAAAAGATACAGTTAAGAAAATGAAAGACTGGAAGAAAACATTTATAAAACAGGTATCTGACAAAGGACTAGTAACCAAGATAATATAAAAAGCATCTACTTACAATGCCACAAAAGACGACAAAAAATGATTTTTTAAATGGCCAGATACTTTGAACACTTCATAAAATAAAATATATGAAAGGTAAATAATTGTAATAAAAAATGCTCAGCAAAATTAAGCAACAAGGAGATGCAAAATAAAAACTAAATCACCACAGGATAAACAAAAATTAAAAGACCACCACCAAATGTTGGCAAGGATGTGGAATAACAGGAACTCTCACGTTCTAGTGGGAGGAGTGCAAAATGCTACAACCACTTTGGGAAAAGCTCTAGCAGTTTCTCTTCTTTCTTCGTTTTAAAGATTTTATTTATTTATTTGACAGAGGGAGAGACGAGAGAGAGAGAGAGCGAGAACACAAGCAGGGGGAGCGGCAGGCAGAAGGAAAGGAAGAAGCGGGCTCCCCGCTGAGCAGAGAGCCCAACTCGGGGCTCGATCCCAGGACCCTGAGATCATGACTTGAGCCAAAGGGCAGACGCTTCACTGACTGAGCCACCCAGGCACCCCAAGCTTTAGCAGTTTCTAATAAAACTAATCACATATGTTCGCCACATTACCTACTAATCCAAATCTTAGGTACTTCCCCAAGAGAAATGAGGACATATTTCCACACAAAGACTTATTCAAGAATGTGGTTTTCTTCAAAATAGCCAAAAACTAGCAACAGCTCACATGTCTATTAATAGAAGAACTGATAATGAAATTTCAGAATAATCACTCAATGGAATACTATCCAGCAGTAAAAAGGAATGGATTACTGACACGTGCATTATCAATGAATCTCAAAAATGTAATACTAAGTGAAATAAGCTTTACATAAAAGTATGTGTTAGGGAATACCATTTATATAAAGTTACAGAATAAACAACACTATGACATAACAAAGTCAGAACAGTGGTTGCCTCTGTGTGCGTGGGGCTGGAATTGACAGGGAAGGAGCATGAGGGAGCCTTGTAGGATGATGGTAATGTTCTGTATCTTGATAGGGGTTTGGGTTCCATAAGTATATGCATTTGTAAAAATTCAGCAAATGGCACACTTAGCATCTGTGCATTCATTCTATGTAAAACTTACATCATCAGAAAAACCTGTAAAAATACTGAACTCTAGTTACTGATCTGCATGTTGCAATATTTAGGGGATGCATATAGATGTCTGCAATTTACTGAAAAACATGTTAAAAATAAGGTAGAATGAGGAACAGAGGGGTAGATACGTGATAAAACAAGTATAATAAAATGTTAAAAGAGGTGGCTATAAAAGTATTTACCATAGGATTCTTTCACCTTTCTTGTATGCTTAAAAATGTTCATAATAAAATACTGGGGCAAAGGGGGAGTAATAAAAGAGAAATCAAAGAAGGAAGAAATAGCACAGAATGCTAAGGAAGAAGCACCAGGAAGGGAGGGAAGGAGGGAGGGAGGGAGGTAGTGGAAGGAACAGGAAAAAAGTATAGTAGTCCAAAAGCCAGTGAGAAAGGCCATTTCAGAGGAGGCAATGGCCAATTGTGTAGAATTCTGAAAATTCGAGTAACATTGAAAGCGGCCCATTGGATTTGGTTGTAGGAGGGATGTGAATGGAGCAGAGCAAAGCCACATTGAAGTGGAGAGAGAGAAAGCTGTTGGTGAGGAAGGAGAGTAAATGAAAACAACTCCTAAGAAACCTAGCTGGGAAGGAGAGCAGAGAGAGGGGGCTGCAATTGAAGAAGGATGTGAAGTCAAGATAATGGACAATACTGGAGCACGTTTATGTGGATGGGAATGATGCAGTAGAGAATCAGGGGATGCAGTAGGTAGAACTGTGTCCCCCAAAATGATATGCTTAAGTCCTAACTCCCAGCATCTGTAAATGTGACCTCATAGAAAAATAGGACCTTTGTGGATGTAATTTAATTAAAATGCGGTTATGCTAAACTAGGGCAGGCCTTAATTCAATGACTGGTGTCCCTATAAGAAGAGGACACTTAAATAAGAAGAGGAATTTGAACACAGACACAGAGAGACCCAGAGAGAAGACCATGTGACAGTGAAGACAGATATTGGAATGACACATCTGGAAGCCAAGGAACGCCCAGGATTGCCAGCCACTACTAGAAGCTGGGAAGAAAGAAGAAGGATTCTCCCCTACAGCCTTCAGAGACAGAGCACGGCTCTGCTGACACCTTGATTTCAGACTTCTAGCCGCCAGAGTTGTGAGAAGTGATTTCTGGTACTTTCAGCCACCAAGGTTGTAGTACTTTGTTATGGCAGTTCCGGAAAACCAAAACAGGGGAGATGAATGGTGATGAGAAAGAGGTGGTAAGGAGAGAGGTGATGTTCTTGAGAAGGTGATACGGAACCATTTGCCCGCCGGAGGGGTCGGGCCTTTGATAGTATCAGGGCTACCCTCCTCCACCTACATAAGTATATACATAAGTATATTCAGGGAGGATCTAAACAATCAAGGGCTTGTCCAGAAGCTTTCAGAAATGAAGAATGCTTCAGACAGCCTTTGTAATAGATTCTCTGTCCTAGTCACTAATAAACAATATGTAGCCTGCATATTCAAGTTGCTAGTCTTCCTCTAAACATACAAGAACCAGCCCATGAAACTTAAGTGCAGCCATTCTCTGCCTTCCAAAAGAGGTTTGAGAACAAAGATGCAAGTCTTACCAACAGAAATGGAATCAGGTGCTCCGCCAATGGTCAAAACAAAACCACCAGATGAAAAGCCCAGTAATCCAATTTCGGGAAGCTCCTTACCTTGAGCTGCTGTTGAAGTTCACTGTTCAGCCGGGCCAGCACTGCATTTGCCTCTTTATTTTTGCGGATAGCAGTCTGAATAGCCTTCTTCTGTTTGGAAGACTGTCTATAAAAAAGTACAAACCGTTCAGGGAAATAGAACTCAGAGGTCCGGACCCTTGTGGGTCAGAACACTGACTCATGAGAAGTACTCAACTAACAAGGGGCTAATGTCACAGGGCTCCAAAAAGAAAATCATATATTCACAGGCAGGCAGGCAGACACACACCAAATGAAACAAATTTGTCCGGATGAATTATTTACACCTGAAGTACTTCCCATTTTATAACTTGAAAGACAAGCTGTGAATTGGACCTTTTCAAACTCCGCATTCCATTTATTCCAAGACATTTTAATAAGTATTTCTTCCTGACAAACCACATTAACTAGAATGCCCTTTTTGTGTAAGCCTTAATGGCATTTTTAAAAGACCTGCAGGTGGCCCCTGTGGACAAGTCTGAAGGAAATGAACAGAAGAACATTCTCTTTAGGAAAAATCCTACATTAACTTAGCCAGCCTATACAAGTCTCCTTCATTTCTTTATTATTAGGCATGAATGCCTGAGTGTGTCTATGTGTGTGAGTATGCTCAGGCATGTGCATATACCAGCATACATCTGTGGCACTTGAGAAAATGTTTTAATACCACTATTGCCAAATTAAGTCAATAGTAAATTCACAGAGCAGGTATAACTAGGGTGACCATATGTTCCACTTTGCCCGTTACAGTCTCTGCTTACACTGCTTGACTGGCCCTAATTATTCTTAGAACCCTCTTTCTCCCTCAAAGCTGTCTACAGTTGGGATGATATATCAACACGATGGTATAACCTACAGCCTTATATCCCACAGCAAAAAATACTGAATTCGCAGAGCAAAAGGGCAATTTAAGTTCCCCTAGGAAAACAGACATATGTGCAACCTGTGAGACGTAGGTTCTATGCCAGGGCAACTTAACCGGAATGCATAGTGACCATTGTGGAGATGATTACTATTCACTGAGAATATACACTATGCTACCCACTCTGCTAATCTGCAGAAGGCATACTCCGTTCCCCAAGAAGTTGAAAGATTAATTTTTTCATCCATAAATAGGCAGGGAAGAGGATTTAAAATCTACTTTCAGAAAGATAAGGATTGGATTTCCAGTTTCAGGACAACATGGAGTAGACATACTTCTCTCTACCCCACCAACTACAGTTAAAATCCTGGACATAATATGTAAGACAAACATAAGATTACTCCAAAAAGTGGAGTGAAGAAGGCAAACCAGCCCAGGAACTCAGTACTCAGGGAAACACATAGCAGTGAATTCCCTGGGTTTTCTCTTTTGCTTCATATATCCCAGACTGGATGGTGGAGAAGTCAGCAATCCATAAATGTCAATAAGGGCAGACAATAAAAAGCCTCCCCCGACCCACATACTGCTCTCTCTAGCCAAATGACTTGGAAAGGGGCAGCCTAGCAAGATATAAATTAGACACAATATCTCTCCTGGACATAGATATCTGCAAAATCTTTAACAAAATATTAACAAATAGAATTTAGCAATGTATTAAAAACTTATACACCATGACCAAGAGAGCTTTATTCCAGAGATGGAAGGCTGATTCGATATTCAAAAGTCAATCAGTGCAATCCACCATCCTAACAGATGAAAGAAAAAAATCACATATCAACTGATATAGAAAAATCACCTGATAAAACTCAATAACCATTCATGACAAAAACTCTCAGAAAACTGAATAGAGGCCAACTTGTCCAACTTGATGAAGAACTTCTACCAAAAAACTACAGCTGACATCATACATAATGAAAAACTGAATGCCTTCCCCCCTGAGATGAGGAACAAAGCAAGGATTTCTACTTTCATTACTATTTTCAACACAGTGCTAGAAGTCCTAGCCAACACAGTAATGCAAGAAAAGGAAATAAAAGGCACACATAATTGAAAAGAATGAAACTATCCCTATCTGCAGATGACATGATGGCCTACATAGAAAATTCCAAGGAATCTATAAAAAAATTCTCTGAACTAATAAAAATGAGTTTTGAGGAGAGAAGATTAACATACAAAAATCAAAAGAATGGGGGCGCTTGGGTGGCTCAGTCAGTTAAGCATCCGGCTTTTGATTTTGGCTCGGGTCATGATCTCTGGGTTGTGGGATCCAGCCCGGCATCGGGCTCTGCACTCAGGGTGGAGTCTGCTTGTTCCTCTTCCTCTGCTCCTCTCCCTCCCTCCCTCTCTCTCTCTCTCAGATAAATAATCTTTTTAAAAAAATCAATAGAATTTTGATACACTAACATTGAATACTTGGGAAAAAATAAAAAATACAGTATCATTTACAAAGCTTCAAACTGAAGTTCTTAGATATATCAAAACATACACAAGATTTACATGCTGAAAACTATACAACAGTAATGAAAAATAGGATCAAAATAGAGAAATATTTATCATGTTCATGGATTGAATGACTCAAAATAGTAAAGATGCCAAATCTCCTCAGACTGATATAAAGGTTTAAGACAATTCCTTTTTAAAAAAATTATTTTAGATTATTTATTTATCTATCTATCTATCTATCTATCTGAGAGAGAAAGAGACACGCAAGAAGAACACAAGCCGGCGGGGGGGCAGGCAGAGGGAGATGGAGAAGCAGGCTCCCCGCTGAGCAGGGAGCCCCATGGGGGGCTTGGTCCCAGGACCCCAGGATCATGACCTGAGCTGAAAGCAAATGCTTAACCAACTGAGCCACTGAGGTGCACCAAAGGTTTAGCACAATTCGTATCGAAATCTCAGCAAGAATTTTTGTGGATCAAGACAAAATTATTCTAAAATTTATATGGAAAGTTAGAGGAATTAGAATACCTAAAACAATTTTGAAAAATCATAATAAAAGTGGGAGAAATAGAAGACATTTTATTATATAGCTATAGTAATCAAGTAAATAAGTAATGAAGACAGTAATCAAGACTGTGTGGATTAATAGGCAGAGGGAAACACACATCGATCAGTGGAACAGAATAGAGAACCCAGAAACACACTCACACTAGTACAGACAACTTACTTCTGACAGAGGTGCAAAAGCAAGTCAATGGAGCAAGAACAGCTTTTTCTTTTTTTTTTTTAAGATTTATTTTATTTTTAGAGAGAGAGAGAGCGTGCCTGACTGGGGGGTGGGGCAGAGGAAGAGAATCTTTCAACCGCAACGTCCCAAACTGCTGAGCGCAGACTGGGGAGCCCAATGCAGGGCTCAATCCCACCGCCCATGAGATCATGACCTGAGCCAAAACCAAGAGTCAGACACCCAACCAACTGAGCCACCCTGGCGTCCCGAGAATAACCTTTTCAACCAACAGCGCCGAAGCAATTCAACATCCACAGGCCAAGAACCCTGACCCAGATCTTACATAAAACAACACAAAATGGATCAAGCAACTTAAATATAAAGTGTAAAATTATATAACTTTTAGAATAAAACATGAGAGAAAATCTTCAGGACCAAGGGCTTGTTCGTGAAGAGTTTTTAGATGTAACAACAAAAGCACAATCCATAAAAGAAAAAAAATAAGTTGGGCTTCTTCAAAATTTTAAAAACTTTTGTATTGCAAATGACTGTTAAGAGGATGAAATGACAAGCTATAGACTGAGAGAAAATATTTGCAAACCACATTCCTGACAATTGATATGTATTTAAAATATATAAAAAGAACTCTCAAATCTCAACAGCAAAAAAACAATTCAATTAGAAAATGGGCAAAGGACATGAAGAGACATGTTACCAAAGAGAATATATGATGGTAAATATACACATGAAAAGACATTCAACATCATTAGCCATTAGGGAAATGCAAATTAAGACCATGACAGGATAGAACGACCCACAAATTGGAACAGCTAAAATAAAAAAATAGTGACAAAACCAAATGCTGGTGAGGATGTGGAGAAACTGCATCTGTCATACATTGCTGGTGGAAATGTAAAATGGTACAGCCATTTTGGAAAACAACTTGGCAGTTTCTTTTAAAACTAAACATACACTCCGCACACAACCCAGCAATCACACTCTTGGACATTTATACCAGAGAAACGAAAATTTATGCACACACAAGAACCTGTACACAAGATGCTCACAGTCACTTTATTTATAATGCTCAACAACTAGACACAACCAAAACATCTCTCAACAAGTGAATGGCTCAAGAGACTATGGCACATCCATACCACAGAATACTGCTTAGCAGTGCTGATTGAGATATATAACTTGGATGTCAAGGGACTGTGCCAAGTGAAAAAAGCCAAACTCAGAAGATCATGCTGTGTGATTCTATTTATATAACATTCTCAAAATGAAAAAATTCTAGAGATGGGAAACAGATCAGTGGTTGCCAGGGGTAAGGAATGGCGAGGAGAGGGTAGGTCTGATTTCTGTACCTTGATTACAGTGGCAGTTACAAGACTCTACACATGTGATTAAACGGCATGGAACAATACATATGCTGTCCCAATGTCAGCTGCCTCGTTTTGATATTGTACTATAGTTAGGTAAAATGTAATCATTAAGAGAAACTAGGTAAAAGATCCACAGAACCGCTCTGCACTGTTGTTGTAATTTCCTGTGAATCTGTAATTATATCAAAATAAAAGGTTTAAAAAAAAAAGTTGATCAGAACTTGATGTCCCTCCTTACACTACTACTACTCTATGTGTGTCCAGCTCCTAACGGTTTCCTCCTCCTTTAGGAACTGGCTCCATCTCCTTCCACCTCCTCCACAGGGATGGGCCCCTGGCAGGGAGTTCTAGTTGTCTCAAGAAAATCCTCACCTCTATTTTGACACTTGAATGGATGCTGGCCCATGCCAAGCTGACCAGATTCTCCCTCCGAAGGACTTGAGTTATGGCTAATATTTCAGTTCAGCCTGGGCCCAGCACAGTGAGAATGTAATCTCTGGAGTGGAAGGTGCTTGAGAAGTCTTTGTAGATAAAAACGTCAAAAACACCTTAAGAAAACTGAGAGGCATCAGAATGAGCCCCAGAAGGTTTGCAATCTTCTCTTCCAATCCACTCCTGCCACTGATTTCCCTGAATCACCCCTATATCCTTATAATAAAGAGTATATTTTGCTACCTCAAGTCGCTTTTTATTATTTGCTACCAAAGGAGCCGTAAATAACACAAAGATAGGATCAAGCCCAGAATACCTCTGAAGGGGTCAGCAAAGCATTTAACCTGCATCACCCTCTTAAGAGTTGCCTCTGGAGTTTCTCTCTTCAGGTCCTCCCAGTATTTTTACTCACTGTTCCAGGCTGCGCTCTAACTGGCATGGTTTCCAGGGAGGAAAATGAAGGAGTAACACTTAAGTAGACATTTATTTGTCTCATTCTATTGTGTGTCATGCTATCCATCAATTCAGAACTGCAACACTGTGAGGCACTGTCCACTCAAGGTTTTGTGGCAGACTATCCTCCAAAACCTGTTCTTGCGCCTTCTTACATGCAGTAGCCTATTATTCTCAGTTTGAGTGGCCCTCCAACTAGAAACTACATTTCCCTGTCTCTCTGCAGGTAGGTAAGACCATATGACTAAGTTTGGGCCAAAGGGATCAGAGATGCCACTTCTGAGTCATACCCTTAAAAGTAGTCTGTTTTCTCTCCATTTGTTCCTTCCCCCTCTCTGGGGCCCAGAATGTGAACATGTTAGGGAGCCATCTTCAACCACAGGGATAAAGGCAACCCCCATGGGGATCTAGAATAAGAATATGGGCAGGCACCTGGGTTCCTGCACGGAGCTACTCTATGCTTTGGGACCACTCACCAACTCAGACTTTTATACAAGAAAGAAGTCAATTTCTATGTTATTTGAGTGCTTGTTACCTGGGTTTCATTCAAGCAGCTGAACCAATATTTGAAAGAATATAAACTGGGGTCTCTAGATGAGAAAAATCTTAGCCTTCAACCTGAGCCCTGATTTCTCCCAAGGAATTGTGAGCACAGCTTCTAAGAATTGAACTTGTATTGCCTTTTCTCTACTTGGAAATGGCAGGTTTTCATTAGGGATGCCACTCATCAACCCCACAGACATTCCAGTAATGCCAGCCATGAAGCAGGAAGGAAAACAGACTCCCAACCACACTGAGAATGTCATGCAGGCAAGCAGACACTGCCACACTGGCTGCTGGGCATGCCCTGGGGTGGTCCAGGACACTTCCCGGGGTTACAGAGAAGAGCAAAAGCCATGGAGGCGGGCACAGTTTCAGTCGTAGTACTGTTATACAACATCCTCTCTCTCTAAACTGTTCAAACCATTCTATTTTCCCAAAGTCCATCTTTACCAGATGCACAAGATGTGAGGGGAAACCAAGTAAGCCAAATTATTTCTTTAAAAAACCTACTTTTGTCCTTACAAGCAGCTCAGTAATTTTGACACAATCCAACAGTTGTTTATTAGTTATAATCTGGACTCAGCAGCTCACTTGGAGAGACTATTTTATTTTTCCTTTGCCCTAAATGAAACAGACAATGACAATATCTGAAAGAGATTTTGTTTCTTAACAATAGTTCAGTTCTGACGTTCATTTCCCAAAGAGAGAATGACCATTTTCCAACTAGTTTATTTTTTTGGCCTTCCTTAACCAGTGTTCTGTTAGATAATTAAGAAAATTATTTGTGACTCTTTTCTCAAATTTCCCCAAAACAATACACAGTAAAGACCACTCTACATGCATAGGAGAGAAGTTAAGATCCTACAGACAATGGATGTCTAAGGGCATCAGAGTTTCATTCTTTCCCAGAACCCTGGGTGAGAAAGAACTATACAGACTAACGATCATGTGTCTGGCTGTCTCTCTCTCCAGGGCTTAAAAAATGATGAATGCTAAGTTGCTTCTTATCAACCCCAAATAAAGTAGTCTAGGAACTAAAACAAGTTGTATGAAATTCCCTGACCCAAAGCTTACATCCGACATTTACAGCACTATTTGTGTTGCTGTGGTCGCTAGCCTCTCTCGGTCTGACACCATGTGGTCACCTAACTAGTGAGAGAGTATCACAATGAGGGACAGTCACTAAACAGGCAGATAAAAGAAAATATCTCCTTTCAACAAACAATTCGGGGACAACTGTATATCTATATGCAAAAGAATGAAGTTGGGCCCCTTCCTCACACTATACACAAACATGAACTCAAAATTAACCATGGGTTTCAATGTAAGAGCTAAAACTATAAAACCTATAGAAGCAAACACAGGAAAAAATCTTCATGAACTTGGGTTAGGCAGTGGTTTTCAAGCTCTGACACCAAAAGCACAAGTAACAAAAGAAAAAAAATAAACTGGACCCCGTCAATATTAAAAACTTTTGTGCTGCAAATGACACCATCAAGAAAGTGAAATGACAACCTATAGAATGGGAGAAAATACTTGCAAAGCATACATCTGGCAAGGGACTTGTATCCAGCATAGGTCAAGAACTCATAACTCAAAATAAAAAGATAAATAATCCAAGCAGGAAAAGGCAAAGGATCTGAACAGACATTTTTCCAAAAAAGATAAACAAATGGCCAATAAGCACATGAAAAGATGCTCAACATCATAAGCCATTAGGGAAATGCAATCAAAAACACAATGAGATACCCCTTCACACCCACCAGGATGGCTGTAATAATTTTTTTAAAAAAGGTAACAACAAGGGGCGCCTGGGTGGCTCAGTCAGTTAAGCGTCTGCCTTCAGCTCAGGTCATGATCCCAGGGTCCTGGGATCGAGCCCTACATCGGGCTCCCTGCTCAGCTGGGAGCCTGCTTCTCCCTCTCCCTCTGCTGCTCTGCCTGCTTGTGCTCTCTCTCTCACTATCTCTCTCTGTGTGTCAAATAAATAAATAAAATCTTTATTAAAAAAAACAGGAGAAATTGGAACTCTCATATGTTACTGGGAGGACTGTAAAATGCTGCACCCACTGTGGAAAACAGTTTGGCAAGTCCTCAAAATATTAAATATAGAGTGACCATATGACCTAGCAATTCCACTCCTAGGTACATACTCAAGACAAATGAAAACATAAGTCCACACTAAAACTTGTACACACATAGTATACCAGCATTATTCTTTATAGCTTCAAAGTGGGAACAACCCAAATGTCCATCAAATGATGAGAAGATAAATAAAATGTGGTATATCCATACAATGGGACATTATTTAGCAATAAAAAGGAATCAAGTACTGATTCATGCTACAACATGGATAAACCTTGAACACATTATGTGAACTGAAAAAAAGCCAGCCACAGAAGACCACATGTTGCATGGTCCCATCTACATGAAATGGCCAGAACAGGCAAACCTATAAAGACAGAAAGTAGATTAGTGGTTGCCTGGGACATGGACAGGGAATGGCAAGTGACTGCTAATCAGCACAGAATTTCTTTTGGGGGTGATGAAAATGTTCTAAAATTAGTTTGTGACAGCAGTTGAACAACTTTGTGCATATACTAAAAACCACTGAACTGTACACGTAAAAGGGTGAAATGTATGCTATATGAATTATATCTCAATAAAACTGTTTAAAAAAAAAGACGAAGGAAAGAAACTGAAAAAGACCTCTGCGTGAGCTCCACCAGCTGCCCTCCAACCAGTCAGTGGAGCAGGGGGTGCTGTAAGCACCACTGACTGACCAGCAGTAATGTGAAGCAGAGACCCAGTGGAAAGCCAGGGTGGCACATGGAAGCAAGTTTAGCCATCTGTGTCCCTGACAGGGATCCATCCCCCAGGCTTGACAGTGGTGGAAAGATGATCAAAGCTCTCAGGGGCCATTAAGGACAAAACAGATTTCCTTTATACACTGATACCACCAGGGAACTGTCTATTTGGAAAAACAAACAACAAAACCATCATCTGAAGAGTGCTACACAGATTCACAATGGGGTTTTGGCTTCAGAGGCAAGTTGCACCCACAGAATCTGTTGCTCCTTTTTCTACAACAGCGTAAGCAGGAGAAACCCACAGCAGCTCCTGGGATCAGCAAGGCCCTGAGAGCAGTGTCACAGGGCTTATCTTGAGCACTGACGTTAGTGACCAGTCAAGTTCACTTGTGAAGTCACGCACAGTAGCAGGTTTCTGCCCTCAACACCTCGCTCAATTTCACTACAGGGAAACTGAGGCGAGTGATAGCCTTTCTTAAAGCCAAAGTCTCTGTAGAAAATTGGTTTGTCCAGAGCATTATTCTCTTGGTTCCTGGCCTTATCCACAGACGCCCCCACCCCGCCACCCCCTCCAATGTCTATTACAGGCGGTCAGACAGATATTCTGGAGGCTCCACAGGTGACCATTCTGTTCTGAGATGATCGACAACAGAAAATTTTCATGGGGAATGAAAAAAAATCACAAGCACATCTACTCAAAGTTGGGTCTGAGGGTCAGGAAGCTAGCCATTTGCCCTGGGGGGCAGCATAAGACAGGCAAAGAGGGGAAACTGCCATTTTTATCACTGTCTTCTTCCTAGGAAAACGTGGCCCAGCACAAGGAAGAGGGGTGGGAAGGAGAGGAAGAGGAGGAGGGAAGGGAAGGAAATCAAACCAAACTGAAACACCACAGCTTTGTACTCGCTTGCCCCTTGGCTCAGGTTAGGTCCTATAGCTTAGAAGGTCTCTTTCTAGGTTGACTGGGAGCCTGTAGTACCACCACAGAGAGGAGGAAGGCAAAACTACAGCCATAAAATCACACCCTTCTATGGCCATGGGTATAAATATAAACAGATTTACATGTACATGCATACGAAGATTGAAAAGGTAGTTTCTGACCTCCCTGATGTGACGTACTTACTTCTGGACTGCTGTGTGGGGTTTCCCGGTCACTGCCGACGCTGCCCCGCCAACAGTGCTAGAAGGCTCTTGGCTTTCTGGAGCTGGGTTTTCAGGTCGTAATTTCCTTCGGATGGGCTTTGATGGAGGCTGAGAATATGGTATGTCCTGTGGATTAAATACAAAACAATAAAACCCAAAAGTTAAAAACTGAAATGCTCCCCCATCATGCCCATGTGCTCATGTTCCTCCTAGGCCCATTCCCAGGTCAGGTGCACACTCTGTTCAAACCCCACACCCGAGGATATAAAGCTGATTCATGGCTTCGCGAGAATGGGGGAGGGGGGGAAGGGGGGCAGGGACATGGGCATCAGATTCTAGGGGCCTTTCTTTTTTCCTTTTTTTTTCTTTCCCTGCTTGCAGCCTATTACCGCTTTTTGCACCTGAAAAGACCCAGGAATCAGATTCCAGTGGCCCACCTGCCCACCCTCCGTTTTTTCAATGCTGTGTGCATCTCACACCATGAGGCCTTTTCTGACTGAAGACAAAGCTCGCTCTTGCCTCACTTTGGGTCTTGCGGGAATATGTTGTAGGTTTTGAAGTTTGTGAAGGTCTCAGTCATCTGCTCCTCATTCTTCCACTCCCAATTCATACATGAAGCCAAGCTCAAGGGCCATAGTGTCTTCTGGAAGGAGACAGCCAGCCTGCTTCCTGGGAGGCCCCTCCTCCCCCGTGCTCCCAAGCCCAGAACCCATGCTCTGACCAGAGGAGGGCCTTAGAAAAATGGGGAGCAGCAAGGAGAGGGTAACAAGGTGAACAGAGAGCACAATAAGTGAGTGGCACCTCCTGAGCAAGTGACCTGGGACTCAGTGACACCGGTGGGCTATGGTGAAGACACCAAGATGCAAGAGGGGACTGTGGCACATGGACAAAGAAGGGCAGACTACCCCGCCCCCCACCAGAGGCCCTCCTAGAGCCTCAGTAGCATGAAGGGTTCTGCCAAAGGCACTTGGCCCTCCCCACCACCCCTCCTCAACTTGCCAAAAGCAAGGCCGCCATGTTTAGCTGGGAGGCTGAAAAGGAAGTGCAAACTGTCAGTGACATCAAGGTCAGACCCAAGAATCATCAGCACCCTAATCTTCACAAAAAAACCAAATTCTAGGAAAGCTGGATCATTAACATTCAGGTCAGGACACTGAAACCAAAGTAAAACAGATCTGCAAACAGAGACCAGAAGCCCAGGGGAGGGGCTCACAATGCCATCACAGAGGCACCTTCCCACAGGCCTTACCTTCTTTGTTGGACTACTGTCTGCAGCTTGAGAGGGGGCTCTGTTCAGCTGGGGGTGTATTTCAGCCTCAGATGCTTGTTCAGACTGTAGTGAAATATCACAGAGAAGATAAAAATGCAAAAACATGAACACCTAAATATATAATGGACAGCACTTAGAAATGTCACTAAGTGGAAGCTGATTTAAACCAACTTGCAGCCAAGCATGGTCAAATCTTTGGATCCTTGAGAAAACCTTCTCTAGACCCTGCCATTCCTTCCCATGTCCCTTTCCAGCATTGTTCAATCTTAGGAAAAGGAGTCATGGTAGTGTTGTCTATAACTAGACATAGGTATTGCTAAAAACGAATGTTTTACAAGCTCAAACTAAAAAAAAAATAAATAAATAATGCTTATTGAAAAAAAAGGGCTGGGAAATGAACTAAAATTTTAACCCAAGCACTAACAAAAACAGTAACCATAATAAAAAAAGAAACTGAAACTTTAAAAAACATTAAATACCTAAGAAAAACACTCTAAGAGATATGACTCTTTACCTTAAAAATGTAGGGGTGAGAGAGCATGATGGAAGGAGTAAACAGAAGGGTTGAGGCTGCCAAGTGGTATGGAACAAACGCACAAAGATTGGCGAGGACTGCCCCCAAAGCACTTCAAGACCAAGCAGATGCCAGAGAACCAAGCAGGAGAGTACCGGGAGACCAGGCACCATGTGCTGCTCCCTGTCTCCAGGAGGCCTGCTACATGCAGCTGCTATTAGCCATCAATGCAAAGTGTTAACATGCAAAGAAAAAACCCTCCGTATGAACTAACGTGACTTCTTCATTATAGTGACATCAGTCCTCTACCCACAAAGTAATATGCATCTGCAGCACAACAATCATCCTTAGGGTGTCCATTCTGTCCCTAACCTGGCCTTCTCTAACTCCTTGCAGAGCCTGGCTTCTTCCTTCCTCTGCCTCTACTGAAACAGACAAGGGCACTAATGCTCCCCCATTTATTGGATTCTTGCTGCCTCTTCTAGTTTTCTCCCAAGCCTTCTGCCCAGCACAGCACCCCTATCTTTTAAAACTCCTGTCCCTGGCATCTGATGAACTACAATCTCCTACTGGTAATCATTATCTCTCTTTCCTGTTTTGACTCCTCTTATCCCTCAGATATAGGATTTCTCAAGGTTCTGTCTTTGGTTCTCCCACCGTATTCCTACCACCATTCATTCTTTTCCAGAGCAATCCCATCTGCTCCTACATTTGCATTGCCCTAGCTAGAAACCTTGATTCCCAACCACCTCTCCACCTCTTCAAACCCATCATGCAGGCACTCAACATGCATGATTTCTCATTCCAAGTTTTGCTTATGGTCTTCTCCCTTCCATTAAGGATAACTGTATTGCTGCTGCTGTCGACACTTATCTGAAACACCAAACACTGTGTCACACAGTTCTCCAGGAGTTCTGCATAAATGAAAGCATTTCATCATCACAGTCCTAAGAAATAGTTATTACCCCCGTCCTATCGGTGAAGAAACTGAGGATCAAGAAGTTGAGGAACTCACCCAAGATCACACAAACAGCAGGGTCTGGACCCAGGCCTCAGGTTCCAATGGTGGGCTTGTGACCACTATGCTATACAGCCTCAGGTACTCTTGGGCCCAAGTGGTACTCATTCAAGAAATATTTATTGACCAGCTACTGCAGGCAGGCCCCGTGCTAGAGCTGGTATTCAAGATAAACAATACTTAGACCTTTCTTACAAGAAGCTTGAAGTCTAGTGGAAAAGGCAAAGAAATGATGGGGCAAACATGCTTCAGTGGAATTCAGACTTTGGTGAGTAAGTATTGGGGGCTCCAGGAACACCCAGGCCATGTGGGTCAGCAAAGATTTGGGTGAAGGTGATGTCACAGCTAAGACCTGAGTGATAAGCAGGGTGCAGCCACCTAGAGGGGCAGTGCATGGGGATGGTGAGAAAGGAAGCTCCAGTACCCACCAGCTTAGGACACCATGACAATTCAGAGGCCTATCCCCAAGGCAGGAACCATGAGAGAAGCAGATGTAAGAAGAGCTCACTTTCAGGCACACTGAGTTTGAAACACCCGGGCAACAGCCGTGCAAAGCTATCTGGGAGCCATTCCTCATCAAGAGTATTGGGAATGTAAGAGTTCACCCACCTCCCCTGGGGGTTCTAACAAATGATGTCATATTTCAACACCTGCAGGCCCAGGGGCGCCTGGGTAGCACTGTCGGTTAAATGCTCAGTTTGATTTCGGCTCAGCTCATGATCTCAGGGTCCTGAGATCAAGCCCTGCAACTGGCTCCTCGCTGAGCATGGAGCCTGCCTGGGATTCTCTCTCTCTCTCCCTCTGCCCCTCCCCCCACTCTCACGTGTGCTCTCTCGAAAGAAAGAAAGAAAGAAAAGAAAAAGATCTGCGGGCCCAATGTCAGCTTTATTAATGGCTGAGTGAGGGCCCAACAACCTCTCAAACGCAGGGCTTCCCCTGACCTGTGCGGAAGAACACAGCTTGGACCTGATGTCCCTTCTTGCCTTCCATCCGCAAATCTATTGCTTGGAACACAAATGTTCTGGCCTCAAGTCTATGCATGCAGTCCTCTGCAGGACCCCAGGTAGGCACTGACACATCCTGCCAGCCAGCCAGAGAGAAAAGGAGTGACGGACCAGTCTCGCCTTTCACCTGCTCAGCTCCCCTCCATCATCAGGCAGAGAGAAGTGTTTGCCCTAATGCTCCCTTTTCCTGAGGAGACAAGCAGTCTCCCTCTTGTGGAAATACTGAGGGAAATGATAAATCAGACCCTCTTTTCAACAAAAACAAGGATTCCAAGCATAGCAAAAGTAGTAGAAGGTCATTGTCATTGCCTCTGCTTTCTCTTAAACATCTCTAAAAACCCAAACGACAATAGAGTGGGAGTTGGGAAGGATGAAAAAGCAGTTGTGAAAAGTGCCTGACAATTTTTTCCATTTATAGGTTTACCTTCCTGAAATCAGATCTAAAGGCTGAGGTTTTCTAGCTCCACAACCAAGAACAAACAGCTCCTTGGCACTATGTGAGGTGGAATCTCACCATCAACCTCCTTGGGAGGAACATCAAGACCTCCCCTCCCCACTCCATGACTGATTCTAAATGGGTCCATCCATGGAACATTCAGAGGAGTAAAATCTTGCGAGGGGCCTGGAGCACAGGAATCACGAAGGTCCTGGAAAGGCAGAGCTTCACCAGAGCCAGACATTATCCCAGGAAAAGAGATGAGGAAAGAAAACTAGCATTGTGGTATTAAAAAAAAAAACAAAAAACAACCAACAACTAAAGATGAGATTTAGAGATACAAAAGCCCCTCTTTGCAAGAAACTATTTCACTTTCCCTCAGGAAAATAGTGTAAGGCTTAGCAGCTGAAAAGCAGAACAAACTGGGGAGATTTCTTTGCTATTTCTTCAGACTTTTCTAAGGTAACTTGAAGAGAATGATAACCCATGAAACAGGGGAGCCTCAGCAGCTCCCTTTTATCTCCATATATTAAAGTAGAGAACAACTCTATGAATATGGACAATATGCCCTTGTCTGAAAGTTCTCATTGTCTGAACTGAAATCCAATGCCTGAATCCTGTGGATTACAATTACTAGTACAAATGGCAGTCCTTCCCTCACAGCTCACAATGTAACATGGACCCAACCAGGATGTGGCAAGGCAGGAAAATGTACTTTTAGCCAAGAGCTCATTGAAACTCCAGCTAAGGTTCCTTTTAAAACTATATATCTCATATTTTTAATATTAATACTTCCCTACCCACAAATAAGAAATATAGTTTCATCCTAATTTTGCAAGGAAAAGCCTGTATGAGTTACATGGACTTAGAGGGTGCTGCCACTCCAAATGTAGGGATCTGTTCTGGGATTTTGTCCACTCCCATGGTTGATGGGACAACATGGTCCCTGCTCAGCTAGCTCCCCAGAAATGGACACAGGCCTAGGAAGGCTAAGCATCTTGCTTCTCCACTAGAAGAAGGGTTTGTTCAGTTACTCAATTTTACAGATATTTATTTCACATATTTCATGTATCACTTTCCAAAAATCTTCATCTCATGTTCTGCTTCTGGGAATCAGACCTGAGACACCAGGCAAACTGCTCCCAAAACAAGGAAGTTAAAGCACTCTAGTATTCTCCTCCTTGGTCTCTCTCTAGGATTACTTGCTCTGGAAAAAGTCAGCTGCCATCTTGTGAGGACACTCAATCAGTCCTAACAAGCAGCCCATGTAGCGAGGAATTAAGGCATCCCACCAACAGCCATGTGGGAGAGCCACCTTAGAGGTGGATCCTCCAGCCCCAGTCAAGCCTTCAGATGACTGAAGCCTAATGAGAGACCCTGAGCTGAAACCACCAGATCAGTTTCTCCTAAATCTCTAAGCCACAGAAACTATGAGATAGTAAATGTCAGTTGTTCAAGGCCTCTAAAAACACCCACTCTAATAGGTCTGAAATTTGGGGTCTAGTAGGGTACACAATAAGGGTGAACAGTAGAGAAGAATAAGAGAGCCAAAGCTCGAGAAAAGCAGTGAAGTGGATCCCACATGGTCTTAGAGATCACTGTCCCAGATGGTCTATTTGCCACTCAGCACCATTCCCCACTTCCAGGCTCTTCCCTATGTTGCAGGGGGTAAAAGCCTGGGAAGAACATTTATAAAATCTCCTTTCAATAATATTCCTTGTTGACTCCGACAGTCACTCACATGAAACCAAGAAGGTGAGAGAAACAAGCTGCGTTACTGTTCCTCAGGCAGTGGTGGGAAGAAAAGCATGGGATTCAGCAGTCAGAAGATCTTATAGTGGCCTCAGGCATTTCCCCACAAATCATTACTTAGATGCTGCGGGCAGCCTGAGGTCCTCCAGGTATTTCCTTTAGTTCTTGCAATGTCTTAACATTCAGAAACTTGCGGCAAACCTGACTGATGGCCTTCCCTCGTCTTTGCTCCTCTAGCACAGCTAATTCTTTAAGTACCTAATCCCTTAAATGAAATCTCTTCCAGTGTGAAATACCTAGAGTGGTTTCTGATTTCCCAACCAGACCTTGGCTGATACG